CTGTAGATGGATTACTAATCAATATGATACACTGGTTATAATAATAACTAGACCTGTAGATGGATTACTAATCAACATGATACACTGGTTATAATAATAACTAGACCTGTAGATGGATTACTAATCAACATGATACACTGGTTATAATAATAACTAGACTTGTAGATGGATTACTAATCAATATGATACACTGGTTATAATAATAACTAGACCTGTAGATGGATTACTAATCAACATTATACACTGGTTATAATAATAACTAGACCTGTAGATGGATTACTAATCAATATGATACACTGGTTATAATAATAACTAGACCTGTAGATGGATTACTAATCAACATGATACACTGGTTATAATAATAACTAGACCTGTAGATGGATTACTAATCAATATGATACACTGGTTATAATAATAACTAGACCTGTAGATGGATTAGAGAGTAATTCAGACAATATAACCCTAGTTATATTAAGGCCCTCTCACTCTCCATCTAGAAAGCAGAGAGTATTTTTGCCAGCAGCTTTGATTAACAAGTCTTATCTAGAGAACAGACCATACTTCCATCAGCAGTCTTGATAAACAAGTTTATAGAAACTTACCGCCACTGCCATGTCTTCTTGTCCTAATTCTTTAAATATAGCGCCCTCTACTAGAGACTTGATATGTAACGCTTTATGATCTGTCTGCATATCACAAACTGAAAATATAAAATACACAGTATTAGCCTTGTGGACTCTCTGAAATGGATCCTATTGCTGAGTGGATCAGCGGACCCTATCGAGCTGGAAAAATTGGACAATTTACAACAGGTCTTGCGTTTCAAAGCTGAACGATGAGATGTTTTGATTCACAGATCCACTTGATAAAGACACAAACTTAAGCCTCAGTGATATTATTTCAAGTTGATATCACGAGTTTTATCATTAATATACACTGAAACTCCTCCAAATTGGCACCCTGACAGACCAGTATCACAGAGTATCACAATATTGTTACACCTTGTTTATTTATAAATACAACACCATTGTTAGCTATTTAAATTCCTATACCAGTAGGTCTCCCAGCCCAAGATAACCATATTCCTTCACTCACCATCTAACATCGGTTTAAGTTCAGCCTCAGTACAAGTTGGAATAGCGTGCCATAAAAACATCAATTCTAGAGCCAGTAATCGACAGAATTCCTGACTAGGCGCCTGTTTCTTTAACTTCTCTCCCTGAAAATACACCAACATCGTTTAGAAGAAGGCACAGGTTAAGAATCACAAAATACCACAATCTGACTAACATGTTTTCAAACTATATGTTTCACATGTGTTGTTGAGTTAATAAATGTTAGAAATAGTATATCTATATATCTAATGAACAGGTTACCCTACCCTGTATGAGTTTGTGAAACTTTAAGATAATTTTTAGAAATAGTTTAACCATATATTTTGAGCTGTTAAAAATAAAAACCTACCCGTCTTAAGACGAATGCTTCAATTTGGTTATTTTTCTTTTTAACTTGTCCAGGTACTTCTTTTAATATAGAATGAGCTTCTTTTAATTCTCCCATTGCTCCAATACAAACTATAAAATATTACACAGAAATAAGGTTTTGTTGAAGGGGGTTTATAACTGATATAGGTTAATCTCTCAGAACCATTGTCTTGTTGTTCAAAACAATAACTTGGCAAAATCTTGTTAGATGGTGATGAGAACATAGTCTCTTGAAAGCACTGGCCTCAGTCACAAAGTAAAGATTTATGATAAAACAAGGTGCAAGTTAAAGTAAACTATGGATGTCTCTGTAATATTATTTGTAGTAGTCTAGTCTTCAACTTTATAAATGGGTCTGTGAATGCTAGTCCATAGTGTCAGGCAGTCAGATAAAACTGTTCAGGCAATGTCTTGATTGAATGCTCTGATGTTTTCCAAATAAAATCAGAATTGAAACTGTATCAACCTATCTGCATGTAAAAAATAAAAAACTTACTGCCTCTTAGATAAGAATAGTACGCCTTGGACCATTTAGATTCCTCAGCTAGTCTACCAAACCCATCTAAACAATCTTTCCATTGTAATCTCATTAGATTACACCAGCCTGACAAAATAATAAGATATCTCATTAATCAATCTGCTTATACAACAGTGACATTAAAAATCAAACACTGGGCTTGGTCAATGTAGAGTTCTGAATGTTTGGTATGTATAGAATCAACAGAACGTTCAATAAAACAAGTTGAAACAGAGTTCAGAATGTTCCACGTGTGCTGAAAACATAGTAGGTTTAGAGAGAATTCAAAATGGAAGAGAAGGAAATAGATTGGAAAATATATACGCTTTAATACTGTTTGATTGAGGACAGAATTTGAACAAACAGAACTGTAAATGGAATTTTCACGCAGAATCAAAGTTCTTCTTGTCTGTAGTTATTTGTAAGATATTTGATAAGTTTAGAGAGAATTCAAAATGGCAGATAAAGGAATAAAATCGAAAATTTTAAATGTGACATAATCTGGTTCTGTAAAGCTCGATTGAGGCTAGAATTGAAACAAACAGTACTTGTTTAGAACTCTCCAATCGAACACATTAGTCTGTAAATGGAATTTCAAGCAGAATCAAAGTTCTTGTCTGTAGTTATTTGTAAGATATTTGATAAAGTTGGTAAGTGATACTTACTGATTTCATACAGACACATTAACTCTATCTCTCTCTGTCCCTTGGCCTCATCAAACGCTCTTCTATACATCGTTATAGACGCATCTGTTTCTTTCTACAATATCAACATACAAATACTCAATACATTTCGTTTGGTCTTTTTCATTAGCTTATATTTTTAATATAGCCACTTCAGTTAGGATCTAAAGGCAGGCTTCTTGAACATTTGTCTGTTTGATGACACCGGCAGCCAATCAAATTACAGTCCTTTCCAACATTGGGATATTTGTACAAAATACAAATAAATACAAAAGTTGTATTCTGAGAAGCACTAGACACTGAATGAGTCTTTTGCTCGTGTCACAAAATCCAAGAATTTTTGAGACGAGAAAAATAAAAAAACACCTACCCGTAAACGATGTATTCTTCCACGAAAAAATAAAAACAATGACGAATTTGGAAAATCTTTTTCTTTGGATGCAATGATGGCCTCCGCATCTGATGTACCTAAAAAAAATATATATGAAATCATGTAGTTCGTTGAAAAAAACATTGGTTAAAACAGGATTTGAATATTACAAAACAAGATACGAACTCTCCTAACAAAAAATCTTCATCAGCAGAAAACAAGGTCTCAAAAGAATAATTTCAATACAGAAAAACTTGACAACCAGATCGATAATAAATAAGTCAAGTACCAACGATCTGAATCGCGAAAAAAACTCGAAATCCAAACAACATTTTGGTAGCAGCTAATATACTTATCACCTGAGAAAAAAGAGAAAAAAAAACTTACCAGCGCTGTAGCCATTGGCGCCGTCGACAGCAAAGAAAGGACGTAAAACTGTGTGGTACCATAGTAAGCCAAGGGTTGCTAGGGGAGCTTTCATGTCTTCAGAATGACTGGTAAAATCCAATGCATTCAAACCAGCTTCTCGGTCACCTTCAAATCCTAGAAATTCTATCAACTTTAAAATCTTTGGTGGCATGATTGAGATACATAACTGAAATGTTCCGTATCCAAAATTCACTGATCCTAAAAGTCGGGCTACGATTTGTTCACTTAATTCGTTCGAGTTTCCGTCGACAACTTCCTCTTTCGACGAGTTACTGGAATTTGAGACATTTCCGTTAACAGTAGGGGGAAGACTGGCTTGCATCTGCTGAATCTTACTCTGTATTTGACGATTTCGAATATTGTTGATTTCTTTGTGAAGCTTCTCGTAAATTTTCCAGGCCTTACGTAAATACCAGCCCCCTTTCATATAACTGGGTATATCTTGATTGGTGAAGGTAAGTATAGACTGGTAGAGTAGACTATCTGCTACTATTATCTGTCTCTGTAACTTATCTTCTAAACCTACACTATTAGCACTCTGTAATACATAGAACAACAGTTTTAACACAGAAAGATTTTTACAAGGATTAGGGAAGTTATTTTTTACAAGGATCCTATTTTGTCAGCGGGTCCTTGGCCAAACCTTTTGGCATTGATCTTACAAGGAAAGCAGTTTTTTAATCTTGCCAAACTTTGTAAAGCTACAGGCACACGAGCTGTCTTTGTGGGAGATTTTTGTCACCGAATAGAGTCTTGAGGAAACTCTTGTGTGTGCCTGTGCTTCCAAGACAAGATTATCATGTCCCCTACAAGATTTATAATATCAAACAAGTTTAATGATTGATTTTTCTCTCCGAATGTGCCTGTGTCAGTCGTTGAAACTCAAGACAAGACTCTAATCAATGACAAAAGCCTCCGACCAAGACCTTAACAGACTAACAGTGTAGGAAATATAAATATAATCTTATATCTTATATAAAAATATAGTTTCTAACGTGTTTTGGATATACCAACCTGTTTTTTCTTCTTGGACAGTTTTCTCTTCATACTTTTAACAAATCCATCGCTCACTTCACATTTTTTCTCTGTTTCTTGCAATATCTTTAATGCTTCAGCCAATTTTTCCTCTTCAAAAGACATTAAAGCTTGCTGAAATAAAGAGAATATAAGTCAAACAACTAAATATTTTATATAGATTTAGATATTTTATCTATATATTATGATAGATGTGACACCTGATACCACTTTTCATTATGAAATACTCACTCACTTATAATTGATATAATTCCTCATGTGAATAGTTCATTAGCTGCTACTATGTTTCACCAATATGTTGTTTTGATTTCAGGTTTCATTTTGCGGTTCCGATCGTTAGTACTTAGTGAAATTCAAAATGCCCATTACACGCATGTATTAAGATTCCAAATTAAAAGTGTAAAAACTTGATCTGTGTCTATGATTTAATAAGAGTGAATACCTACCATGAAATAGACAAAACTGTAACCAGCCTGCATCAATGGACTTTCATTCCTGAAAATATACAATTTATAACAGATTGTAATGGACTCCAGCAAAAATTCTCATTCCAAGGCCAGTGCTTTTAAGAGCTGTCACTGAGGTTACAGAGTAGTGGGCACATATTTGATGATAATGCCCCTACTTTTCTGCACCATGTGAGCTAATGAAGACTGGAAATGCCAAACAGTGTGCAATGAGGGAAAGTTGACCAGGATAGCAGCATTAGCCTGCTCTTTTTCGATTTCCAACTGTCTTGAGATCTTTAACGTGCACAGCCTGTAGCACACAGGGCCTCAGTTTATTTTCCCATCCGAATGACTAGACGCTTTTTCCATGTCAGTCCCTCTTACCTACATCACTGACAAGGGGGAAACCAGGTTAAATTTGTGTTGGTAATAGTTTAATTAAACCATGTACATTAAAATCTAGATGCAAATTTATTGATAGGAGCTATATTTGTAACGTGTATATTTAAACGTAATGTGTTTAATATTTGATTAAAGAAGTGAGTTTATTCTATAATATTCTCCTGTGTTTGTGATTTATATTTCTAACAATATGTCAAACCATGCAAAAAGGTTTCTCTTCAACAAAACAAAGGTCCATTGTGACTCGTCAAATTAATTTCTAGTATAATTTTCACCTGCCCACTCTCATGATTTACATCAATATATATAAAATACAGTCTGGGCAGGTCATTCAGTTTATCTAACTTCAAATAAGTTTTTAATATGTTGATTTACATACAAATATACTTCAAGAGGATTTATCACCAAGCCCTACTATAGTTCATGTCAATCACCTTATCTGATTGTTAAGTAGTTGTTCCTTAAACTTTTTCTGTGTATCAGAGACACTGATAACTAAAACTAGGTGTTTAATGATATCACTATCACAAAGGAACTGAGTTATTATTAATAGCTTTAGCGAGAGTGTCATATAGTTACAATGGAATTGCACGAACCATGGACGTCTGAATGAAATTTGAATGGTGTTAATCGGCAAATTTTAGCATTAGAATATTCCAGATATACATCAACATGGCCTGTTTATATCAGTCTAATAAGTGGAATATTTTAACCAATAGTCTTCTAGTCTGATTGATAAGAAGGAGTTATTGTTTTATCTATAATTGTTAGTTTATCTGATTGATATCAATTATAATGTTGTCTATTGATATAGATAAACGTAGATTTGACTGATATATTCTAGCTCTGAATCTACCTCAATAGGATACATTGACGGGGCATATCTTAAAAGAGATAGGTTCCCCATTTGTTTGACCAATCATACCAGAGTTTCAGAAATGAGAAATTTTTAGCTAAGCTAATGAGTAATAGTGTTCACAGCTCACTGTACAAGTTTATCCAAATTTGAAATTTTGACTTGGATTACAACTTCCTTGAATAGAAATGATCCAATATCTGGAAGCATTTTAGCACACACATAATTTTATTATTCAACAAATATTTTTCAATCTTTCCCACGTCATTTTTGATTCATTCAAACTAAAGCAGGAAATATTCTTCATCATTGGGTCTCATAACAAAGCTGAGAAAGTTTTTCTCAGATCCCTCTTAAATATTTTGGTTGTTATGACTGTTTCTAAGCTCTCTATAGTAAATACATAGTGGATTAGTTAGTCATTCTACTTCCAGTAGGCTTACTCATCTTCACGTCACCTCAAGCTAATACGAATTTTAACAAAACAATAACACTTAACAATAGTGAACACTGGTTTAACCCTGTACTAGTGCCTTATGTTGAATAGTAACTTGTACTACCATCTACTGGTATATATTTGTATTTGTGCCAATTGGTGATCGTGGAGCTTAAATGTTCCAATCAATACTAATCTTAGAAACTAAGGTACGATTAGTCAAACGGATGGCAAACGTGTCTCTTTTAATCATCAACTTTATGTATTATTGGCGCTAAAATCATCTAATGAATACTACTCTTAATAACGTGAACAAACGATGGAGAATGTGTCCCAATTCCATTCCAATCAACACTGATTACTGTGTAAGATAATAACAAATCCTGGTTATAATGATTCAATCAGGCTTTGATCTCCACTTGACCTCGCACCTCATTAGTATAGCATGTTAACTCGACTTAACAGGACATGTTAAATTACCATAGGCAGTGGCATAACCAGGATTTCATTAATGAGCAGGTCATCTGTGCACTTTGGGTCCCTTTTTGGATTTTAGACACTAGTCGCGTTGGGTGTTAAGTAGGGGAAAATTTGACAATTTTCTGATCATGGAAGGCGGGGAATTTGGCATTGAAAGTAGAATAAATGTTCATTTTTTCTGGCCCAAGGTGGGGACCATGACACCATGCCCCCCCCCCCCCCTTAATATGCAACTACCACTTAATTTATTAAGCATGATCTTTGTGTTTTGTCTTTCTACTAAGACAAGATAAAATACTAATAAAACAGGAATTATCATTATGTGATATCTATGACAACCTTTCATGGCTTCAAGATCATTGGGCAAACTGAGGGTATGGTACCAAAATTAGGTCAGCTGTGAAGCAATAAGATAGGGGGGTTAAGAAAGATGCCTCAACCTTTGCTTCAGGTGTCAACAACCCAATGTAATAACGCCCATTATTCCTAATTAATATGATGACACTTGTTGACTTACTTGTATTTCTCGAACAGAGCTCTTGCTTCATCGTAACCGTTATTCAACAACATGTTAATTCCTGTCAAAGCCATTTCAGAATCGTCTGCTAGGCTAGCATCGTCGCCATCTTGAGGACTCATGTCTTCCATTCCTGTGGCGTTCGCCATCTTAATTAATTTAGGTGAGAAAACGTCGCAATTAATGAAATTATTTAACGATTACTTGACACTTTTCCATGTTGTTTGGTAACTGCCTCGTCTTCAATATTCACCTTTGACCCGGAAGTCACAATGGCCGGCGTCAAAAAAGGACGGTGCAAACTATTTTAAGTAATTTAGATCAAAATCTGCGTTGATTTTAAAACAATTTTTCAGTCTTTATGAATTTTATAATTTTTCTTTGGTTTTGAATCACAAGTATATAATTACTTGTATCTATTCAATAAAATTACAATAGTATTATCTTGTACCGTATGACACTAGAAATTTGAATTAGCAGGTGCCTGAAGGGAGGTAACTCGTGATTGCTTAACGTTAACAAATCGATAACAAAGTGAAAGCAGGAAAAGAACGTTAAAAAGTAATTAATCAATGTATTTAATTGGTTAATATGATTGTCCTAATATATGACATGTCTTTCTTCATGTGATAATGTAAATTAAAGTCGGTGAAAGCTTAAAATACAAGATACTTTTCACTCATAATAATCAAAACTAATCCCCCACCCCCCTTTCAGTGCATGTCATATAGGCTTCTTAATTAACCTATGGTATCTAATTAATTTCAGAGAATGGAAAATAACACAGCTTTAAGACAAGATCAAAGAACTATATTAAGAGAGAAATTTTTGAGAATGTTGGGTGGATTAAGCGGAGTAGAGGCCAAGTTAGTTTTATACGAAAAAGCCACTGTTACTGGAAAAATTGGTCCAACTGATGTTGATTTTCATCATATTCAAATATCCAATCTTCAAACACCAATGGGAGTTATTCCTGATGCCATTTTAAGAACTTCTGATATGATTTCTATCAAAATTGACAATATATCGGAATGAAGGTGAAAAACAGTGATATTTAGCGCGTATCATGGAATATCGACTTTGTAAATAACAGATTGTTGATAGATTTGCCTGCATTTGCCAGTGAAGTCTCATCTTGTTTTAAAATTGTAACTAATCCAGACTGTGAAGTGGTGTTATGTGTTTCTTTATACTGATCACGGCAAAATCTGCTCATGAATCGACAAGAGGGACCAACATTTGAAACATTATTGTACAGAATAAAGTATTATTTTCACGCAGATTCTTCTCTATTTTACAATTTCCCCCCACAATCATTTAGAAAACCTGATCTATCAATTCAATCGAGTCATGGATTTTGTGTTTCCCCAGGGTCAAGGCTTGCACTTTCAGGTAGCACCATATCACAGGCATTCAAATTCCAAGGCACGTCAGGCCAAGGAAATCACCCCACCCACCCTTCTCTTGCCAAGTGACATCAATAACCTTTCATGTTCAAGGCTGTGGGAAATGGGGTGGTTCTTATGCAACAAGGGAATTAAAATAATTTTTATATCTTTATTATGATTAAACTTTAGGATTTCAATACAGCTCGGATCACAACCTTCTTCGGAACGAACATCCAAAAACAGTTTTACAAAGACAAAATAGAAAATAAGACAAGTTCAGAATAGACAGAAAATAAGGAAAAACGAATATTTAGACAGGTTATGTTGATAAATGAAAACCTTGCTGTAAAATAAAGTATAACCATTGATATGTTTACAGTAAAAAAAAATTAAGTATTTCGGCTAAAAAAATAATCTCTTTGGTTTTAAAGTTTGGATCTTATCGACGAAATAAATGCAATAAAAAATGTTTGATATTTCTGATAATATTGCCGTTTGCAAATGTAAAACTTTATTTTGGATTATAATTTAAAATTCAGAATTAAGCTTCTTCCTGATCTTCCTCTTCATCAAATTCTCCTTCCTCTTCAGCTGTAGCATCCTGGTACTGTTGATATTCAGATACCAGATCATTCATGTTAGATTCAGCTTCAGTAAATTCCATCTCATCCATACCTTCACCAGTATACCAATGGAGGAAAGCCTTTCTTCTGAACATAGCAGTGAACTGTTCAGAGATTCTCTTGAAGAGTTCTTGGATGGCTGTGCTGTTACCAATAAAGGTGGCAGACATCTTCAGGCCTCTGGGTGGAATGTCACAGACTGCAGTCTTAACGTTGTTGGGGATCCATTCAACAAAGTAGCTCGAATTCTTGTTCTGAACGTTCAACATTTGTTCATCTACCTCCTTCATGGACATACGACCTCTAAACATGGCAGCTACTGTCAGGTATCTACCGTGTCTTGGATCACAGGCAGCCATCATGTTCTTGGCATCGAACATCTGTTGAGTAAGTTCAGGAACAGTCAGGGCCCTGTATTGTTGAGATCCTCTGGATGTAAGTGGAGCAAATCCAGGCATAAAGAAGTGGAGACGTGGGAAGGGTACCATGTTTACAGCGAGTTTTCGGAGATCAGCATTCAGTTGACCAGGGAATCGGAGACATGTGGTTACTCCAGACATGGTGGCTGATACCAGATGATTGAGATCACCGTAGGTTGGTGTGGTGAGTTTCAAGGTTCTGAAGCAGATATCGTATAGAGCTTCATTATCAATACAGTAAGTTTCATCTGTATTTTCTACCAGTTGATGAACTGAGAGGGTGGCATTGTAGGGTTCAACAACTGTATCAGATACCTTTGGTGAGGGGACGACGGAGAAGGTATTCATAATTCTGTCAGGGTATTCTTCTCGGATTTTTGAGATGAGGAGGGTTCCCATACCAGAACCAGTTCCACCACCAAGGGAATGTGTAAGTTGAAATCCTTGAAGACAATCACAGCTTTCAGCTTCCTTTCGGACTACATCGAGAACAGAATCTACCAATTCAGCTCCTTCTGTGTAGTGACCTTTAGCCCAGTTGTTACCAGCTCCTGACTGACCAAAGACGAAATTGTCTGGGCGGAATATCTGTCCAAAGGGACCAGATCTGACGGAGTCCATGGTTCCTGGCTCCAAATCGACCAAAACTGCCCTAGGGACATATTTACCACCTGAAATGTACGAAAAGGAAATTATAAATACTGAGTTGTTAACAGTGATACTTATAGAAAAAAGACTAAATTCTTGACTGCTATCCATTTTAATAAATCAATCCTCAAATTGCACATCTCTGAAGTCATATAGGCTACAAGAAGGGACAGTTTGATATGAAATTAATCCTTACCTGTGGCTTCATTGTAGTAAACGTTGATTCTTTCTAACTGAAGATCAGAATCACCGTGGTAAGTTCCAGTTGGGTCAATACCATGTTCATCAGAAATAACTTCCCAGAACTAAAAGATAAAACAAAGTAATGATGAATTGAATGAATACAAGACTATGCAGCAGCAGTCAAGCCGGTTTAGAATGGTTGATTCCAAAAATGAAAAAATTCCTAAATCCAACACGCCAGCAACATTTTTTTGAATGATAATAGACTGTAACCCGTGTTTCTTGTTAAATAATAGCGGAATGGTAAAATTAAATCACCAAAACTTCTGAATCTTGCATTGAAAATTATTTAAATTTATGAATAAAATGGCGGACCAGCTCGATTGAGCCGGTTTTCCAGTCTACATTTTGATCATCAAATTCATTGTTTTTCCTCAACTTTTTTGGCATAATTTTGCATCAAAATGTAAATAAGAAAGATTGTTTACCTTAGCACCGATTTGATTGCCACATTGGCCAGCTTGCATATGAACTATTTCTCTCATTTTAATTGCAGAACTTAGTGCGTGTTACTCTGTGTCTCGTCTGTTTGAAATTGAGCTCGCTGCGTAACGGCAGGATGGTTTAGCCTCTTTTTAAATCTATCACGTGATCAATGACGCATGACCCCATGGCAACGGCATAAACATGTTGAGGCTGTACTGGATTTAATTACAAATATCGTTGTGGGTCGTGTTTGGTTGCTATGAAATAGATCTTTTTCTAATTAAATTTCTTTACTGATTACTTGACTAATTAGGGTCTTTGAGATTTTAATTGCCGACTATCTGCTTGATTTGACGTTTGATTTGTTACATGATTGATGAATTTTTAAAGGGTTCATTATGATATACTTATTATCTTTGTTTTAACATGCCACTATTACTAATATGTAACTAAGGGTAGGGTAGCCTAGGCCAACCTGACTTACCCTTATCTATGTGAAGAATTTTAACTTATTTTTATGGTACTCATTATGTAATGAACATGTCACTTAAAGATCTTTTTTAATGGATATGTATGAAATCCAGATAACCCAATTAAGACTTAACCAGGATTTTGCATACTGTCTCTTTAAGCATAATGAGAAGGATAAGCATGCTGTCTAACCATATCTATAAAAGCCTAGCAAGATCTCTATTTCTAATGACTCTCAACATTTTGTGATTTAATCTACACCTCTTTTTTAGAATCCACAGAGTAATTCATTCATTCATTCATTCATTCATTCATTCATTCATTCATTCATTCATTCATTCATTCATTCATTCATTCATTCATTCATTCATTCATTCATTCATTCATTCATTCATTCATTCATTCATTCATTCATTCATTCAGTTTTGGTCTGGAAATATAACTGCAGTTACTTCCCTTGTAAGGAATTTTAAATGCAAGTCTCTATCATGATAGGATGTAAGCGGCCATAGCTTTATAAAATAAATATTTAGCGTAGAAAATGACAAAATATCATTTAGATTAATAGCTTGGTTAACAAATATTTTAATACGTTAAATTTAAGAATAAAAGAAGACATTTGAATGTCATTTGATGAAAATTGTACGATTTTTTGATTAATTTATTGATGGAAGCGGCAAAAAAAATTCCAAGATGGCCGAGAAAGGTTATGATGGTGAAGGCTTCAATGATTCAAATGGAAATAAGCCACAAACAGAGAAAAATTATGAAGAAGTTACGGCACTACTGAGTCCCAAATTGAGTGGCGGTCCTCAGGGATTAGGTATTCTATAGATTTGTTACTGTTTACTCTCCGGGTGTGGGTCTGAACGATAATGCCTCGTTCGTTATTGAAGAAATAGAGGTGTGCAATCCATGGCTCCATGAGGCATGATGAAATTCTAAGCCTTGTTAAGACTTACTTGAAGCATGGCCAACAAGCAGTGAATATTTGTGTCAGTTTTGATTTGCCATAGCAGTAAATGTATTGATAGAAATGGAGGTTTACTTTAGTTCAGAACTTTGAACTTCGCTACAGTTAACAACCATGTAGTCAAAGTCTTTATAATAATGTTTCATCCATTTTGTTTTGTCTAGGTGATCCTGATGATTATACTTTAAGAAAGGTAGAAGCAAATGTTGTAATTCCCAAACGAGTTAAAGAAAGAGCTAAAGATGAAAAATGTCGAGATCAATACAGAAGTAAGTCGTAACTTCTATGATTCCCTCCTTGACAACTCTGTTCTACTCTGATTCCCTCCTTGACAACTCTGTTGCCCCTACTTAGACTCCTGCTGTAAGGTATGGAATTGGGCCTTCATTTTGTAAACTCATTTTTCATAAAGTTATATTGTTTCAACGTCTTTAGTTACATCGTTCATATTTTCCAAATCATTTCACCTGATGAAGTTGTCTCTACTACAATGAAAGCTTGTAGAATAAACTACCAGTCACTCTTAAAGGTCTTCTTACTTCTTTTATTATACAATAACATAGAGTGATACAGCAATACTTGTTGTTTTATTTCAGCACTAGCCTACTGTGCCCGAGAACATGGAATGTTTGTTATGTGGAGATGTAAATCAGAGGCCAGAAAACTTGAAAGATGTTTAAAACATTGGTATGTACACTTCTTGAATTCTGGTCTTGAGGTCTGGTCTTAAGAGATACTATCCTATAGAAGCACTGGCCTAGGTCACTAGTATTAGTTGTTATAAGAGATTCTCTTCTATAGAAGCACTGGCCAAAGTTCATTACATGGAATTAAAAAAACAAAATTCTTCAAAAGAGATATTGATGTAAATCCCCACCATCCTCACAGCTGTGCCTCATTATTTCATCAATTTCCTATACCCTCATCCCCCCTCCCCTTTTCCCACACAGACCTGACCCCCTTTATCTCATAATGCCCTTTCTATATTTACAGGATAAACAATGAAGATTTTGTACAGGAAACTAAAGACCAGTATTTAGAAGATCGTAGATTTTATCGTACCACAGGCATTAGTAGAAAAGAGATGAAAATTGTTGACGCTCTTTTAGAAAAACAGAAAGAAGAAAAGGCATCGAAAGCAGCGGCTGAGACATTACGCGGTGCTTTTGATAATAAAATGCCTTCTTAGGATAATATTATGTGATCAAGACTGAAACTTTGAGATTCATGAAAAACACCCCTAATTTACAAATGAACCTTTCTGAACATGCATGATACTAGGTGAAAAATGCGTTTGTGGAAGAGTTCAATAGAGGAAAAGGGATGTGAAATAAATGACTAACACAGTGTTTGCTGTTCTGATTGTGAATGTGGACAATCAAGTTTGAAAGAGACGTGTTCAAGTTAAAATAAACCAAGTACTAAAGATCCAAACCGCAACACAAACTCGAAATCAAGAAGTGATTCCTTTTAATCAGAATGTCATCCTAGAGTTTAGCTTGGAATTAAGTGCTTTGCTGGTCAAATTCCATTGCACTCTGCTGAAAACTGAAGCCAATCTAGTTACAACTTGCACCTTGTTCATAAAAATCTCACCATCAAAATTTATTGTAAATGCATTATTTTTTAATGTAAATTTTAACACTTACAATAAGTTTTATTGTGAAATTTTTTATGAAAGGTGGCAGTTTCTAGTTTTAAAAGAAGACAACATGAAGTTAAGAGTGAAGTGTGTTTATTAAAAAGTCTCAGTCTCAGTCTCAAAAGAGACTATTTACAATGATATCAAAACATTAACTAAAGTGATTACAGTTTACAAATATTTGTCTTATACCTTATACCAGCAATAGCCACCTTTCTTGTATCATGAAAGTTTGTAAATGCATCCATTTGTTTGGATTGTATGTAAAGGAATACAGCCAATCAGAGGCCTCAACAGAAAGAATGTAAACAATAAACAAAAGTGCTTACAGGCTTGCTATCAAAGGCTCTGAATGACTGTACTTCATAATCAAATCACTGCATTTCATGATATAAAATAATTGGCTATTGCACTCAAGGTATAAGATGAAGTTTGTAATAGATTGACATTGTGAAGATGTATAAGGTTAATACTATAGTATGCTATTATAATGATGAATGGGTGTTTGAAGGGAATGCCAGGCAATGATACAACTTAGGTTCATGAAGATCCTTTCTACCAGCTGTTCATTTACTAGACATCTTGGTATTGATTCTTTTTAAAACAACTGATGGTACTTCTATAGTCCACTACTATACAACTTTTACTCTCCATTGTGCCATTCTTTAAATAAGATTTTGAATAACGGAATTGTCTTGCTCATACAGATTTTATTTGCCTGGCATTACTTTCAGTAATAATGAATTCTTATAAAAGGTGAAATTGTAATTGTGTGTATAGTGCTAAAAAAAACTCTATAAAACTCCAAATGTTTTTTTTTTTCTAGTAAAAAGCATTAATAGATGGGGTTGGTTGGATCGTGTATCAACTTTGTGGGTCTTGGCTTGTTGGCAAGCAGAATGACAGTAGGACCAACAGAGCATGTCAAATTTATAGAAATACAGATATTAAAGGGATTGTAAAGAGGCTTTCTAAATTTTTTATGTGTATCTGGGACCCTTCAGATGCCTGTGGTTCGTGCAATTCTATTAAAACTAAGTGTTTGATGACACAACTAATTGCTTAATATGCTTAACCACTTAAGGTCCTTCGCGATAAGTTACATTATCAAACACCTTTTTTTAGAAAACCTCTTTACAATCCCTTTAAAGTTTTAGACAAAAATGGTATTGGCAGATTTTATATGCAAATGAGATATTCAATGCTTATAGCATAGTATTGATTGAAACTCCTGAAACCAACTGAGCCATCTTTGAGTTCTTTTTGGCAATATCATGGAAGAGCCTACTCTAGATGTAAAAAAAAATGTGATGTAAAATTTCTAACGTGTTTTCTCTTTACCAGTTTGTTTAATACTCTCACATTTTTTTTCCACGAAGCTTGCCCCTGTCTGTCGAAGATGTGCTCTGTCGTAATCTTGTAGTTTGGCTGGGCATAGAAGCCCCTCCCCACAGGCACATAATAATTGCATTTCTATGACCCCGAAAGAATCTTCTCCATCATCATTTTTCTCCTCGACCACAGTGATTCTGGCACATGTACTGTTCTTCTCTTTACATTGATCCTGTAGAGACAAAATTATTTTAGAAACGTTCATAGTTTTCTTAACTCAAGCTGGTTAACATCTGTCAAAGCAGCAGTTAGTTTTACTGACCATAGCTGGTTGACATTTGTCAGAAAGGAGTAAGAGACTAACAGATCTTGTTATAACTTATGCTGCGTGATAACAGCATCATAAGTAAAGAGAATGTATAGCAGTGTACAATGTGGGAATTGAAGGAAGTTAATGTAATATCTTCGAGAATCTGAGATATTAAACTTAATTACACATAACACTTCTCACGACTCGTTTTGAAAATCTTCTCCAATGCGACAATGTCTCAGAATAACGTGAGGTTGCCCTTACCATAGCGATCATAAGCGTCGAACCGAGTTCGGAACTCAAGGCCATACGCAGCAGGTAATCGCTATGGTGTAAGGACACCTTAAGGTAAAAATATCTAGCTGATCTTGTCATACCTTTAAACAACTATAAAAATAATTCCACTGGCCATTTTCCTTCTTCCATCCCATTAACTGATAGAGTTTATTTTTAGGACATCGACAGCGGTTGACGTGTAGATGAGGGTGCCAGCCCGTTGTTTCTGTTTGTACCACCGCAGCTCGTTCCCGACCCTCGCATTCTCTGAAATTACTGGGAAACTTGGGCCCACAGAATCGGTACTGGACAGTCCAATGGGCTGAAATATTAAAAATATAAATACATTGTCCCACAGAGAAATATCGTTAAACGGTTTAAAAGGAGTTTTGATGAAGAGAATTTAAAGTGAGCACTGGCCAGATGGCCGGCTCGTAGCAACCGGGAAGCAAGGGTTTACCAACGAGTGACAGCAATAAACACTTCTGCAACCACAATATACCACCACGTTAAAAGCTACACTCAAGTGTGGCTACGGGCCTGCTGTTAATCACAAGTTACAATATATTTACCTCTTTCATAATGTTGCCAAGTTAAAACATTATTATTATCCAGTCCCCAATTAGATTCTGGTTGATCCATGTTTAAACACCGACAGTAGGGACCTTCATCTACCTCGAGTCCATCAGGATATCTCATCAGAGTTGTGTAGGCATGTTGGTGACTTCGACAGTCAGATAAACTAGATATCTACAATAAACATATCAAAATACAGTGAAAATCTCCCTTAATCACATCTTGACTTCGGGTGTTCCTCTTTGAGATAATACGTGGAATTCAAAGTACAAGTACCTATAATATACAGAACATTGATAGACTGGAATTATTAGTAGGCATTTACTGCAGACGTCTGATTGGAAATTAGAACGGTGCAAATTGATGCTATCAGTATCCCTGATACGCGTAACAATTTTAGAAAACTTCCTTACAATCACTTTAATGGCACTTTATACAAATCGATTCCCAAGTTGAATAAAATGACAGTTACAATGCTTCAGTTCCATTCACGTTTCATATTACTCATTATCCGCTTGAAAAATCACGATGTTTTAAATAAAGTGTTGAGAAGAGATGCCTTATATATCATGAACAATAACCTAAACTCAGTCAGAACGAATTTAATCAATAGAATTTATTTTGACCCGTAATTTGATGTGCACAACCGCAGGGTGCTTCTCCCTTTATGAAAACCATGATATTATATATACATTTTTAAGGTTTGGAGAGATGATTCGTAAACCAGATGTACAATAACCTAAACTCAATTTAACGAATTTAATCAAAAGATCTTATTTTGCGAGGCAATTTGATATGCTTCTCCATTTATAAATGTATAAAATTATTCAAACAATACGAGATGTATGGATAATAAAAAAAAATCCGTACAAGCTCGACAATTCCGATATTGAAAATCCCTTCCAAGTATTTCGAAATCGAGAGAAAAAAATTGAAAACCAGGTTGAGAAGTACCATCGGGTGTTTCGAAAAAAGTAAGAATGGTCTACTACTACACTATTACTATTTTAATACTGGAAGATACTTACTGAATTTTGTGCTAAAACTGAAGTCAGAAATGTGATATACACACTGAAATAATTCCAACACAAATCCATTATGAAGATCTGAAAAAAACCCCAATAAAATATTCCTATTGAAGTTTGCTATGTAGAATTATTCCCTCCATTACCTTAATAAGGTAGGCCTAAACACGGGCCCCCATCCTGTCTCTACCCATAAAATTCATTGCCCCCACCCCACACCCACCGAAAACGTGGCCAATCTATGTCGTCACTGCAACTTAACACCAAATTGCACCTCCTGATATATTACTTACTCCTCCTTTTCATCACCCTGGTTCAATTTCTAGAAAAGAGGATGAAAAGATGGAGAATTGGTTGCTAATGCAAGTTACTGATATATTTTATAAAAGAGGATTCACAACGATTTGGGAAATCCTTTACCAAATGCAGATATTAGATGTTTGCAGTGAATTTTCACCTGTAGCGTACGTTTATTCTGCACATTAATACAGAAATACAGAAAGAAGTAAATACTTACAGAGAAATGTCGGCAGTTCTCCAAATCGTCTGCTAAATAATGTAAAATGGCGATGGAAGCAGAAAAATCAATAAATTTGGTAAACGGAGAAAGAGCGAGAGTTGTAATAACAGAATCGTGAAGCTGTAATTAAATTCTAGTCGGGAGTAATGGCTTAGTCTCGCCTCGGAAGTGTTATCTGATTGTTCTATATCGATTTTTCATCGTTGATACAAAGCTGGTGATGATAAGATAGTAAATTCTTTATGTTAGTATCTAGTGGATATTATTAAACTTGATACATTCGATATTGGTGCGATCATAATGTCTCCTGAGAAAGAAATATTCAAAACGGAAAGCAGGTAGGGGGGAGGGGGGGGAGAATTTTAATCGAATTTCTACACCTTTGGCATTTATATGCACTGGGCAATATATTCTAAGTTAGGTACAAAATGGCTATTGTACATAAACCTGTATGTAGATGTTGAATTTGACATCGTTCATATTTTACGATAGAAATCACAGACAAGCCAGGATTATTCCTACCCTTTCCGCATATTTGGCATTGAAAACTTCGCGACTCGCTGCCTTCTCATTGGTTATATTATAAGACCTACGCCCAAAGCCCCTTATGTGATGGCCCTGCAATAGAACGACACTTTTTCTATATGATTTTGATTTTGAACAAAGCCACATTAATGATCTAATCACATTTAATCGAATAAGAGCGAAAAATTTCGGCCGCAAATTCATTTCCTGTTGTCTGCTTCAGCTTGCAGAGTTATCTTCCCCAATACCATAATCACGCGAGATTTAGCGATATCTTTCTCTTCAGCCATTCATCTTCAGAATGGGTATGTAGTGTATTTTTGTGTCGAGCAATCGAGAAGCCATCGCACGGCATTCTACACATCGGCCCATCGGGAAAAAGAAATGATTAATTGAAGATATCTCCTACGTCACTGTATGCCTATTTGTTTGCCAAAGCTTTTATGATTTGCACATTTAGCCATCTAAAATATCATTTGTTTCAACGTGTTGACGATTTATATTTTGATTTGGAGATGATCGATCACTTATTTTCGGTCTTTTCACTTGTCGATCGTTGAAATATAGGCTGTCTACAAGGGCATTCAATGCCAACAGCCCTTCCTGGACTGTTTTTATGTGGCAAAAGGAACACGAACATCTTTAAAAAAAGATTTGACTTGTTCCATTCCACAGCATTGTAGATAATCCCAGTCCCCTAATCTTGTATTGGGTGTGGACTGGATTCTGTCAAATCCATGTGCTTTCATAGATTACTATGTTAAGATCGAAATGAGAGAATACATATTATTGTCCAGAAATCTGCTGACAAATGTGGATGCCAATATTACATAGTTCAGCCATATGCATAGTTTGCTGATTAGTCTTTCAATTTACATGCAATTTCACTCTAATATGTATTGTTTCAGGTATCTCTCGAGATAAATGGCATAAGCGGCTCAAGTCTGGTGGTCGCAGACCCCAGCCACGAAAGAAGCGAAAGCATGAAATGGGCCGCCCCCCAGCACAGACCAAGGTACAGTATTAGTAGCAATATTCTTCATGCAAGAAACTAGATGCTTTTCAATGCCGACAGCCCTTCCTGGACTGTTTTTATGTGGCAAAAGGAGCATGAATATCTTTTAAGAAAGATTTGACTTGTTCCATTCCACAGCATTGTAGATAAACCCAGTCCCCTAATCTTGTATTGGGTGTGGACTGGATTCTGTCAAATCCATGTGCTTTCATAGATTACTATGTTAAGATCGAAATGACGGAATACAGACTTTATAGAAATTTGATTGAAGAATGGACTCCTAATGAAATGGGCTGATTTGAGGCTGTGATTGTTTTCAAAAGTTTAAAATGAAATATTGTATTTTGTAGATGGGACCCAAAAGAATCCACATTGTTCGAACAAGGGGAGGTAACAGTAAACACAGGGCTTTACGTCTAGAGAACTGTAATGTAAACTGGTCTACACAAGGTTTGTACATTGTTTAGTTAATGTGTATGGTATGGCATGATGTTTCATACTGAATGCAGCAATTTGAAAGCTTGTATATGAGACTTGTAGTACTACGAACCGTGCACTTCGACAATTAAAAAAGCGTAGCCTAATGCTGCCGTCCTGGCACAGTTTCCCTCATTTCACACTGCATCCAAGGCGTTTCTCAACTTTATCAGTCCATTAGGTGCAAAGTAGAACCAAGTCAAGTTATTTCATTAATAATTTTTCAAGATTTGTTTGAATGAATGATGAAACAATTACACCATCTTTCGACTGAGAAATCAGTGAAGATAATTTCTACTGACATTCAATTCAAATCTTGTTTAAGGTTGAGAAAGTGACAATTCCTCCTGTTAAACAGACAGGTGCCCCATTTTGGGGGTTGATTTGTGTCTCGTATATATGTAAATAGTCTTCAGAAGTACTAGAAATGTACGAAAATTCCTTCAAAAATATCTCAGACTAGGAATTTCTTTCCTACTTTGACAGGATTTCTAATATTTGAAAATAAATTTTCTTTTTTCAGGCATCACCAGAAAAACTAGAATTGTAGATGTTGTGTATAATGCCAGTAGTAATGAACTTGTTCGAACCAAAACTTTAGTTAAAAGTGCCGTCATTCAAGTCGACGCCAACCCCTTCCGACAGTGGTTCGAGAATCATTTTGGTCTGCCTGTTATTCCACGAAAGAAAAATTTGAAAAAGGTTAGCATGGATCTTTTAGTCTGATATGTTGGAATAGTCTGTCTAAGGCTAGAATCCTTGTCCAAAGAGTAATATCAATGCCAACAGCCCTTCCTGGACTGTTTTTATGTGGCAAAAGGTACACGAACATCTTTAAAGAAAGATTTGACTTGTTCCATTCCACAGCATTGTAGATAAACCCAGTCCCCTAATCTTGTATTGGGTGTGGACTGGATTCTGTCAAATCCATGTGCTTTCATAGATTACTATGTTAAGATCGAAATGACAGAATACAGACTTTTGTCAATTCCCAATGGGTAAGTAGCATAATCAAGAACTGTTTTGTTCTGGATAAGTCACAATGGTGCGATGTCATGTTTATTCTTAAGATGAACTCTGACCTTATTCCTCGAAGAAAATCTTCGTGCTATTATTATGAGGGGCTCAGTGTTGCAACAATGTATTAACCTTGGTTGTTAAGCAGAAATTTGACTGTTTTTGTCCTTGCTAGGCAAAGTCAAATTATAATTAGACCAAACTTTCATTCCATTTTTTTTTTTAAAACGTTGATTTGTAATTTAGCTACTTCAGTTAGGGTCAAAAACAGAACAAGTGATTGGTCTAATTATAATTTTACTTCGACAGTTTAACAGAAATTTGATTTATTTTGTCCTTGTTTTGTAAGAAATGTAATTAACTATTGGAAGATATGATGAACATACCTTTCACCATCTTTCGACTGAGTCTAATGCTGTGAAGGTCTTTACTGACATTCTTCTATAGTTTGTCTTAATTTCACCAATTACAGGTACATGTGTACTATTGATATTTTATGTATAATTGGAAGATGGTATTTGCATACAATACTTGATTTGTCTTATCTTCATGTTCCCTGATATTTTTATTTTGCATACTATCCAAATTGGGAATAGTTTGTTTAGATTATTTCTTATGACTGTATGCTAGATTGATCAGCCTCTGCGACATTGAATCATTCTATGTGATACTCAGTTACTTGTAGGCAGACACGTTTTTTTTTACGACCAACCATAAAATTAAAGGATCGTTAATTTGTTGGTTAAACAATTTTACTCTACTTTAAATGTATAATTATTTCAGGGTGGTAAGAAAGATGATGATAAAAAGAAAGAAAAGAAAGAGAAAAAAGATAAACCAGTCGCCAAGAAATTATCTAAAGAACTTTTATTTAAACGTCGTCAAAATCGTAAAAAACTGTTTAAAGTTGAACCTTCACTTCAAGAACAGTTCCGAAATGGTAGACTTATAGGTAAGTCTTTGAGAAATTCTGATACAAATATTGAAAACATACAGAATTAAAATGGAGCATACAAAGTTCCCTCATTTCACACTGCATGGCGTTCTCGTTTTCATTAGCTCATTGGACACAGAAAAGCAGGACGTAAATTTTTAATTTCTATCGGTTAAGAATGATTTTTGTCTCGGATTTATGTCATGCCTTAAAAGGCCCAACTATTGTGGGATGCTAGAGGTATATCTTAGATTAAAATTGTTTCCCTGTGATTCCACTCTGTCCAGCAGAATGATGAAAAAACTATGGAGAGGAAATGCAGACGTCGTTTTGGTGTCAAAACATTTCCAAGGAATCCTGTTGTCATAGTTACTCTGACTGCAATACACAATAAACTTTTCAGATCTTAACTTTCTCTGATAGTTTAAGACCAGTTCACAACAACTTTGCATACTATCCAAATTGGGAATAGTTTATTTAGATTATTTCTTATGACTGTATGCTAGATTGATCAGCCTCTGCGACATTGAATCATTCTATATGATACTCAGTTACTTGTAGGCAGACACCATTTTCTTTTAGAAAAAATACATTTTGACTTGGATTTAGACCAATATCATGCAGAAAATACTCTATTAAAGTTCCCTAGATCTCAGATTTTGAGATGTAAATTTCTCAGTGGGTTTTGCATTGGGAAATATCATCCTAAATTTAATTTGAATCTTTGTTTTATTTCAGTAAAAATCTCGTCTCGGCCAGGAAACTGTGGAAGATGTGATGGTTACGTTGTCGAGGGAAAAGAACTGGAATTCTATTTGAAGAAAGTCAAATCCAAGAAAAGGAATTAGACTTTGTAAAATCTACATGTAATAAAAAAAAATCTCTTGAAATTCTGTTTTTCTTTTTTAATCTGACCCTTGCCCCTTGAAATGGTTTTAGTGATAAGATATTCTAGAAACAGTGTCAGAAGTTAACACCCTAGGTCAATTCTAGTGCCAAGATCGTTCCCTGACAATAAAAATCGAAGGTTAATGCTGCTGTCTTGCCACAAATTCCCTCATTGCACTCTACATAGCCTTGCCCGTCTTCATTAGTCCACATGGTGTAGAACTCCATACATTTCATTTTCGGAAATAACAGGTAGCATCTGAGATAAAGATGTTCCCTTGGTCCCCACACCCCCTTTGTTGGTGACCGGACCATGTACCGGTCCCTTAGAACCTCCTTAGTTGCCTGTTGATAGTTCAATCAGACCTAGGCCAATGCTTCCATGAGTTCTGGTCACAATCTAACACTTGTTCTAGAGTTGCAGAGCGGTCATCTACGCGTATAATGGTTATGGTCCAAGGGAAGTAACTCGATTTAATCGATGTTTGATTTAAAGACCACAGTTAAATAGCCAATTTTTCTGCTATGTAATACTGCTAATATAGCTTTAAAGGGTGGTTTTCTTGTCTTTCCAATGTATTTCAGTTCCGTCAGTTTGTTCCATGATAACTTTGGTTCACTCTAAGAGAAACGATGTATTTTAACACAGCCCAGGTCGTCTTGAAGGTATAATTTGAGGGGGGGGGGGATTTAAGAAGTCTATCAATAGTGACAGCAATGCGGACATACAAGAGGCTGAAACTCAAGGCGCCCTTTCACACTGCTAAAACTGGCACATGAATATCCACAGGGAAGCCCTATCCGTAGATAAACCAGTGTGATGAGGGTAGGGGATACAGTTAATTGTCTTACGGGCACCCTTTCACACTGCTAAAACTGGCACATGAATATCCACAGGGATACCCTATCCGTGGATAAACCAGTGTGATGAGGGTAGGGGATACAGTTAATTGTCTTACAGGCACCCCTTCACACCCCTGACACAAACTTGAATATCCAAATAAGCCCCACCCTTGGAAAAACCAGCGTGAGGGGGGGATACACCGACACAAACATTAATTTCTATGAATTTTTATTTACAATCAACTATATACAATGTTAAAATAATATAAGTTAGATTTCAGAGTGTAAAATAAAATGAGGGGGAGAGGGGGGGTGATATATTTTGACTTTAACAATAAATACTAAATGATTATAATATACAAGATTGCTGTTTAGAAATTCAATATCTGACAGACCCCACCCACAGGGAAGCCCCACCCAGAGAATAATTAAAATAAAATGTTTTGAATAGCTGATTTTCTTTTTCAGGCTAGACAGACCTAGCATACAAAAACTCTTTCATAAGTTCTAAACTTGATACAAAAAATGAATGCAAAATTTCTCTGGAATTTGTGGGTAGAATCAAAATGTGGGGACCCACCCTTAGAAAATTAACAAATAAAATAATATAATCTATGGCTAAGAATGACTGAAAAATTGTCAAAAAAATTACAGACACAAAAACAAAATTATAGGCCATTAATAAAACAAAACTTAAATAGGAAGAAATACTTTTTCTCATGAAGCCATTTTTAAAAAGATCAGAAAACCACCGGCTGAGATAAAATTGATAGATATTTTAGATGGTTATTAACATATGATGATTTGATTAAATATTCTTACAACCTTGAATTATAATAACAGATAACCCTTAATATAAATATAAAAACAGAACCTAAAACAAGTTACTCAGTTTCACGCAATGCGATCTTCATACAATTAAAACAGAACCTAAAACATGTTGTTACTCAGTTTCAAGCTATACGATCTTTAGACACCTTAAATATAGTTCTTTATCTATATCTTTATTAGCACAGGTAACTCGTTTCAATTTATCAATATCGAGGTCACTGATATCATCAATGCGCACCATTCCAATTTCCAATTAGACCTCTGTGGTTCCTGCAATTCCACTAGAACTGGGTGTTTGATGACGTCACTAATCGCAAAGTGCCTTAAGTGATAAAGCATATTTAATGCTACACAGAAAAAATTGAGTAAACCTCTTTACAATGTCTTAAATCATTGACAATACAATTAATTTTGATGCATCAGGATAACTAAAATAAAGATGATATATAATCCCTAACTACTAAAATGAAAATAGTCTACAGAGGCTTAAAACTTGAAAATGTGCAGAAAAATTACAGAAAATCTCCGTAGAGAATATAAAACCGTCACAATAAACAATAATATCAATCACTTTATAACACTTAATTTGATTGGTCAATATTTCAAATACATATTTCACAAGCCAATCAAATGAGTTCTCTTTAGTCTTTCGAGTCGAGATTCAAACAAAAGTTTTGGTCCGTTCTTGGATGACATAAACACGCATTAAAATAAATTCAGTCTAACATACATGCAGAAGTTGAATTTAGGTTTTTGTTCAAAATGCATGTGCATACACAATCATAATTCAATCAGGCTTGATATGATTCAAAATCAAACAGATCCACTATGTCCTTCAATGAAAACACACAGATATCCAACAGTGTAATTATCTATTGTAAAAATTAAAAACCAACGCATAGACTTCATATTGTAACTTCGCTAATTGGAACAGCCTTAATTTTAATTTTCATCAGCATCAACGGAAATGTCTTAGCGTTTATCTAAGTTTCAATTTGGTATTTTAAATCATCATCATCGGAAATAATGTTCTAAATTTAAGTTTAGCGTTCATGAGTCTATCATCGGAAATGTCTAATTTGAGGTTCGGTGTTTTGTGAGGGTGTTATTTGTACCCATGGTAACTCGTGCCGTGGTTCATCAGGTTTAGTGTGATTGTGTGTATTTCGTGTTGATCGTTTGGAACGCGTGCTCGCCTTGCTGCGTAAACTCTGTCGATCTGAAGCGTAATAAAGATTAGCAGCTGTGGTCTCTTGTTGAGTGTCTCGCATCGTCGTATCGTAGCTTGGTGGACGTTCCAGAGATGAAAAATCGTTCTGATTAATATCCTCGAATGCGATATTGTTTCTGTAAGCATGATGAGCTGGTGAACGGTACCGAATTTTTACAAATTCTAGTTCGTCATTAGCCGGGCTTGCTGAAAAAATAAATAACGGTATTATTACTCACAAAACCATTTACAAATCAAGTTAAAAAATATGACTACATCATGTTAATTGTAAATTGAATTTTAGATTTTCAGTAATTTGCAAAGATTAGCAGATAAATACTTGTGAACTAATCCATGATCTTAATTCTTTAATAGATAGGATAAATTAAACACATAGATAAGGCGTTGATACACCAGATCTGACAAGACAAGATACAACATGACACACGAATAAAAACAATATACATTAAACTATATACAAACATAAAATGTTAGAATATTAGAAAGCTGAGGCAAGATAAACCAACCTAGGTTATCGAAAGACAAGAAAGTCTAGTGTATTATTAGTGCTTAAGATATCTAAAAACTATCTAAAGGCGTTCTCACGGCATAGCGATTACCAGTTGCGTATGATTGTGAATAATTAAAGTGGTCTTGAATACCGAAAGCAATGCACAACTGAGTAGCATGAGAGTTGAGTAGTACGACACTTATAATCGCTATTTTTATCCACAACCTCACAACTATTGCTATGATGTGAGGGCACCTTAAGGCTAGGGATGTTAATTTGATTGAATTTTGTCGTCTGCATTCACAGACTGAAAATATATCATCAGCCCTATGTTGGCTTTCAGGTTTCTTCATTGGTAGTTAACTGAAAGAGGTTTGGTTGGCTTATCTTTTCATCTTCAAAATATCAAGTTCTCAATCATTGTTTTACTTTAAAATTGATGAGAAATAATCACAATTAAGCATCAAGTGCTGCAGCTCAGCCTTGGAGCACATTTGATTTCGATTTTCTTCAGTTCTGTTTAGGAAAACAACGAAATGAGTTTGCTACTTGACATTTTGAAGATGAAGTCGTCCAAAAGAAAACTAAAAGTGTTAGAAAACCAACACACCTGTGAAAAGCATTAAAAGGGTTAAAAACTAAGCATCTGAAGACTTATTGGTCACTTCTGCTCCAAGCAAACCAATGGATGACGTCCGTTTGGTCAACTCCATACTGTAAGTGGGAGGAGCTTGATCTTGATTGACAATTCTGGGTGGACCAATGAAAGCTAGTGATTCTGGTGAGGGAGGATGTGATTGGCTGTTGTGTTGTCTAGTATCTATATAGGATATGTAAGTGGGTATAACTCCGCTCTCTGAGCTGGGTATAAATGTGATACGTTCGTATCCTATATTGGAATCGCGAGGGCGAATATAAGTCCTGGAGTTCGTGAGGTACTTACAACTTTCATCCTCTTCTGTTATATTGGATATGGTGATTAATGAAATTGTGATACCTATGACCTAAAAGAAAACAATATACAATATATTTCAGAGTCAGAGTTCAGTTATACACGAACATATTTCAATAATAAACATAAGAATAAATGAAGTTTCCTACTTTTCTGCACCTTATGGGCTAAAACAGTTATACAAGGACATACTTCAATCATTCATATCACAGAAATGAAATGAATCCGCACCTAATTGGGCTAATGCAGAAGGGTAATGCCATGCAGTGAGCAATAGCCTACTCTTTTAATATATCACAGAATACATATTTCAACTTCAACATTTGGAGTATTCAGTTTCAATCCTGATTAAAATGAGACCAAAACTAGCAAATGAACAAGTTTGATTGAAGATAACATAGCCACATGATGCATGAAATCTGTCCAGTGCCAGAAATCGTAGACACTTGTAGCAAAGGTGCATGCCAATTTCATATACACGTTTACTTTTCATAAATAAACAAATAAAAATAAAACTTACAGATAGAAGACATTGAGCTGCAGCATGTATTACTTCCACATAATAATATTGTAACATACAGCCCTCTACAAACTCTTCTGGTGGAATGGGACGACTAGAGTCTACACTCGACCCCTCGTCCAACCAGGACGTATTGGTTATACGACATCCTACTCCGTGCTCCAACCACCAACTTTTATTTTTAGTCCCAATATTTAATATATACAAATTGTTCGTCTGCAAAAAAAAATTATATTCTTCTGAAATGTCAGTCAAGTATAATAATTGAAAATAGATAAATAAGTCTTAATAAAACCGTAGTAGCTAATGGTGGTGTAGATGACAAGTTAAAATCACAGACTAAGATAAAATATAGTGTTTTATATGTGATAGTTTTCATATTTAATAAACTCATTCGTAAAAATACATGTTCTGCTTTATGCTAGTCAAATTATTTTCAGTTCTCGGAGTCTTAAGAGACATGCGTGTGCCACAATTCAAAAGATCAAGGGTAGGGGGCAAGCAAGCGTCGTCTTTCCTTCCCCTAAACTGACATTGAGTAGAAAGTGATTCTTACCCTGCTGAGAACACCCACTTCTAAATATAGACAAATGACAAACATGTTCCATCCTAACCATAATAAACTCCATACTGTAAACTGTAATAAATATAGACAATACTTTATAAATCTCTATCATAAATTATGTTACCAGTAAAATATAGAAAATACCTTATAACTGAACATAATTATATGGATAGCAATTATTACTTTAATGAATAATTTGTGATGTTTTGGCGATGATACTCTTGTCTTAAACTTCCAGTATAAATCTCTATTTTCATCAGTTATTTGTTTGACGACAATGTTGGTCTTATATTACCTAATAATAGACATAGAATATACTTACTACAATGATAAATTTTGGTCGATATTGACAAGCCCCAAATAATCCTATAACTGTACAAGCTATGGTGAAGAAATTACCAATAATTGGGGCCCACATAAACCCCAAGAAGTCAAAGACTTGTCTCTCAATAGCACCAATCTACAAAGATAAAAATATTAATATCATTAACAGAATATTGCCCTATAAATATTTTTATAATGTTCACAATTCTTAATGACTTAAGGAGCATTAAACACTGAATGCATCTGTTGTTCGTGTCTCAAAATCTGAGCGTTTGAGACAGAAATTTGATTGGCTGGATGTGCCATCAAACTGACGAATTGTCAAGAGGGCCGTCTTTAGACCATAACTGAGGTGGCTGTATTAAAATAAAAGCTAATAATTCAAATTAAACTGCCTAATTGACTGTTGCATATAATTAACTGATAATGATAATGAAAACCTTTTACTAAGAAATATTTAGTGAAGGTGGTGATGAGAACACTGCCTCATAAGATCCAACAGAGTTAACAAGTAGCTAATGAGCTTAATCAGTGAATCAAAACCAATCAAAATGTCAAACTGGGATGTTAATTAGGCTCGATCATAAATGACATACGACACCAAAACAATCACACACACCCAACCCAACAAAACATTAACAAACACAAAATTCTTACCAGTTGCAACACAAAAATCACGATCAAACTCGTGTACAGGGCACGATTCATACACTTTTCTGATGAATTCCCCATCTTGAATAATAATTTTACACTTTCCATTCGATTATTACTATTCTCCTCTCCATTTTCTGATAAAAATTCATGATTTATCAAAACTAAACAATCGACATTTTTACTTTCTTGATCATCCCTTAGCCTATTTACTTCAATATGACGGAACGAATGGTGCGTCGTCAAATAATTCGACGACATTTTCACATTTTTTAATCGAAATTTAAAGAAATTATTTTACGAATCTTTCCATCACATGATTAATCTGTTCATCTTTTATTTGTCTTCACATTCATCACAAATTTAAAAATTTTGAAACCTGAAAGAATTTTAGTGCGTATGAATTTATAGGCCTAACATCAGCCGGTTTATTTTTTTTTGACAAAATGTAAACAAGACTGTCAAAATTTAGAAAACTAAATATAGACCCCTACAAATTTTAAACATGTCATCGGTCGTATTTTTCAACACCAAATAAATTTTTTACCAACTGTTGCTACATTTTCTAGACCGTAAAATTGTTTACAAATTAAAAAGCATGAGGGTCCAAAGGTCGATTGTTAAGTTTGGTTAACCAGCCGTTTCTTTTGAATGATAAAGTCTTGGTTGTCAAGTTCCATGCCTTTTGCACGTGGACAAAATTATATCGAAACGTCCCGTCTGAAATCTATTTTTAACTGTTACGTATCAACTGACTAGCGTGGCACGAAACATCCTCATTAAAATATGTGACGTCATGTTCAAACTAAAAGTTTGGATTTGAATGTAAATACTGTAAAACGAAACATAATTAGAAATTCCACATTTAACCATTTATTCAAAACGAAGCCTTAGAAAACAAAACGTAAAATATTTTTTTTAAATGTTTATTCTCAATCAACATTTTTCCTGATGTACAACATTTATTTTGTGGAATATTCGTCAAAATCAGTAAATTTCGTTTACTAATTATTTAGATAATTATACAATTTGAGTCCACCCTTAATCCTATAAGAAAAAAAGAAAAGCAGGAAGAATTACGCCAGCAAAGAAAATAAAGAAATTGAGGTAGAAGGGCTGTGAAACGAATGCCAAAAGTTTAGAGAGTTGAGGAGAGAGTTTTAGTGAAGAAAATGGGTCGGTCTAGAAGTCGATCGAGGAGCAGAAGTCCGCGAGATCGTCGAGGTTACGGTGGTGGAGGTGGAGGCGGAGGCTACAACAGTCGATATGGAGGGGGTGGGGGCGGATACGGCGGTTATGGTGGAGGATACAATAGTCGATATGGCGGTGGAGGGGGCGGGGGATACCGTGGAGGAGGGGGCTACAGAGGCGGGGGATACAACAGAGACAGGAGTTTCAGCCGCAGCAGAAGTAGGAGCATGTCTCCCTTTGATGATGGTCACAGAGTCCATGTTGCTGATATTGGGATGAATCCTTCCAAACCTGATGTTTTAGAAGTTTTCGAAAGATTTGGGCCCATCACTGAAGTCTGGGTGGCCAACAATCCTCCATGTTTTGCTTTTGTGGTTTTCCGACATAAAGATTCCGCAGAGAAAGCTATCCGAGATATTGACGGAAAATATATATCTGTTTTTAACAGTCGAGTTCGAGTTTCCTACGCCAGACCCAGAACACGGGGCAAGAGAAGACGAGGCGGCTTTGATCCCAATCTAAGATGCTACCAATGTGGAGAGAAAGGTCATTTCTCGAGAGATTGTGACGAGATCTCACGCAATCGTAAGAGAGATAGAAGTCGTTCTAGGTCAAGGTCAAGAGGTCGTAGAGATAGACGTAGGTCAAGAAGTCGTAGTCGAAGTAGAACACGATCACCCAGTCATAGTCGCAGCAGAAGTCGCAAGAGATCAAGGTCGAATTCTCGGTCAAGGTCTAATTCTCGGTACAGGGAAGATAAAGACGGTGCGAGAAAGAGTGCAGATAGAAGCCAGGATGATGAAGGGAAATGGAAGACAGTTGATGATGATAGGTTTGATGGAAACAGTAAGGAAGCAGGTGGGTATCGTTAAAACATGGATTTGGCACAAATGAACTTAAACAAAACCTTCATTTTCAAATCTGTGATAAGCTTCGAAAATAAACCCTAAAGAAATAAGTGCATGTTAGAGCATTATCACACATTTAGAAAACTGATTTGTTTCGGTTCTTTGTGTCCTGTTAATTTTGATTTGTTGAAATTCAAAATATCTCGAGGCACCTTTCTGTTCAAAAACTTGACAAATTGCATGATAATTTTTTCTTAAATTATCTTTAAAAAATCCCTGATTTGTCCTCTTTCAGATTTTGGTTTTAATTTTGGCAATGTGGTTTATTTTTTACGAAATGGGTGATAGATCAATGTGGTTCTATTGGTTGATTTTTATCATGGTTCAGCCAATCAAATGCCTGCCTTTCATTGGTAGACATGATCGTTTGAGTCCGTCGAAGGCAAGCCGCAAGCAAAATGTAACAATGAATCTCCCTGAGAAATCGTCTGTTGGTGCAATGAAATGGTGCATTGAGAGTCCAATTTGTGAGCATTTATAAAACATAGATGAAGTTGTCAAATGTGGTAATCACAAATGATGGTCAAGTTTTGGCACAATGTGGTAGGAAAGCACGAATTATGGCAGAGTTTGGCATATGTGGTAATTTAATAAGATGGTCGCAAACGAGGAATCGTGGTGCAGAGCATCTTATGATTATGGCATTGGCAAATGTGGTACTATGAGGGAATTTGAAAGAATTGTATGTGTAAAATGTGGTTTTGGTATATTTAAATATTAAGTAAATTCAGGTATATATTTTGTTAAAAAATTATTAATTGATGTGAATGTTATTTGAGCTCTACTTGTATGAAGCAATGAAGGGCACATGACGTAATGTCAAAAGATAAATCTCAAATGTGGCAGTCATGCGTTTGATAGACTGAAACCCCTTGAGATAGTCAAATAGACTATTCTCGGCCTGTAGTTCACATTCTCTTACACATTGTTATTATTGTAGAGACAGTTCATTGATTGAATAAGGGGTGTCTGCATCCACTTCTTGTGTGTAAAATATGAAGTATTTATCTTTCCTTTATGTCTATTTTCAGAAGCAGTTCCTGATGATTTTTGAAGGAGATGAAGAAGTTTTTAGTTTAGTTTCAAGTTATCATGGAATTGGAAATTGTTCATCAAATTTGTTGTGAAATTGACTTTTAAACTAACAGATATATTTGAAAATTAATGACAAGAACAAGCAAATTATATTCATATTATCTTTCGAAGTTTCAAAATAATGGACGAATTCTTTAAACAAAATACATCCAAAAAAATGGACATGAAACTATGTGGGATTGAACATGGCTGCATCTTTTGCCATGTTACATTTGGGAAGGGATTATAAGAGGATATGCTATATTAGATGATGCTTGTCCCTTAAGTTCGTTTATATTCATATAAAGTAGAATAGTGCTTATGATATTTTACATTCACTCATCAATCATGTACCTTGTTAGATTTAAAGGTTACCTCATTGCACACTGCATGGCCTATCTTTATGGTAAGGTGCAAATTGACAGAAGACTCAAATATTTTGTCTGTTTAATTTTGTTTTTTTTTCTCATTCTCTTGTTCACATTTCATTTTAATTTGCAGCAAGTGAACCAGTGTCAAATTTTTTAAAATGAAAAACTACTTGTTTAAATGAAAAAAAAATGTGAAAGTTCAGGTCTAAGAAAGTTAAAGATTTCCTCAGTTTTATATTAACGAGGCCCTAATCAATGAAGTTTAAAATATGTCATCTTGTTTTTCTCATTTTATCATTAAAAGATTATGAATGTTTTGATTTTAAGACACTTCTCCTTTTATCCCTTCGCAAGAACCTGAAAAGATTTGGAACACAGCCTCACGGTGGATGAGCAGCACTGCTAAAAGCACTAGCCAGGGAATCCATCCTTTACCAGGAAGCACAATCATTTAAAAAATGATCTTTGGGTAGAGATCACATTAAATAACGGAACACAATTTGTATGGTATACTTCTTCTTAGTTTTATTGAACACAGCGTTTCAACAATTTACATTGTCATCATCAGGTGGAACATTGTGTACGATAAACTATAGAGTAGTATACTATACAATTGTGTGTTCTGCTGTTTAATCCTTAGTTTAATGATTTGAGTGAAAGAGCTGGGTGCTAACGTGAAACGGCAAGACAATTTACATACACATTACAACATTTTCACATTAGAAGCAAGTGATACATTGATCAGATTATAAACTACTTTGTCTGGATTCGATTTACATACACCATCATTTGACCTCCCCTGCTTATTGCAGTAACCCTTTGAAAGTACTTTAAAATTTGCAATACATTTCATTGAAGAAGCAAACTCTTACAACGGTACATAGAAATTAGAGCACAAAAGAGTGCAGTGCAGCTTTGCAAAATGTCCAACTTTCGTTCATGGATTTTCAAAGTATATCTCATAATTGAAATCGGGTCGTATTTAACAACATATTGTCAAAAACGTATTTAAAAGTAATAAATGCATGATTTAGATTCACCGTTGAACCAAACTTGAGGACAAAATTGAAAATTAAAATATTTCAATTTCCAAATCGCCATTTTGGAATCTCCACAAGGAGGCGTCAGCACCTACTTCCGGTTTATAATTTTACTTTCATTCAATGAGGAAGCGTAACGTGTTGACTTTATCTTTTATCATTTAATTTATGCAAAATTTCCCAGTGACAGTGCAGCTAGCCCTTCTAGACTGAAATATCTTCCATATTGTGGACTAGATATTGAAATGGGCCGATCAAGAAGCCGATCTCGAAGTCGTGGACGGGGGTCTGGAGGTGGTGGAGGAGGAGGGAGGCGTGGCAGATACAGTCGTAGTAGAAGTGTTAGTCCATTTGATGAAGGCCATCGTGTCCATGTTGCTGATATAGGCCTAAATCCATCTAAACCAGATGTTTTAGAAGTATTTGAAAAGTTTGGCCCCATCACAGAAGTCTGGGTCGCCAGAAATCCCCCCTGTTTTGCTTTTGTTATTTTCCGGCATATTGAAGATGCAGAGAGCGCAATCAGAGACTGTGACGGAAAATATGTATCTGTTTTTGGCAGTCGAATTCGAGTATCATTCGCTAGACCGAGAACCAGAGGACAGAAACGTCGTCATGGCTTCGACCCTAACTTGAGATGTTACCAATGTGGAGAAAAAGGTCACTTCTCACGAGATTGTTCAGATGTCTCCAGGCAACGGAGACGAGATCGTAGTCGCTCCAGATCAAGGTCAAGATCTCGAGGTAGAAGAGATAGCAACAGAAGGAGAAGCCGATCACGAAGTCGAGACAGGTCCAGGAGAGATCGCTCCCGTTCTAAATCAAGATCCCGATCGAAATCTAGAGGTTTAAGTACTGGAAGAGATGATATAGAAGGTAAATAAACAACCATTAAACTCTGCTTGTGTGTGTCAGCTCCATTTTAGAATAAATATACAAATGATCTCTTCTCAGATTTAGAATTTAGAACAATGAGCAACCCTGGGCACAGTTTGTGAGTGTCTGATCCATTTTAGATTTAATATTCATGTGAGCTCTTATCTATATCCCATTTTTATTCACATTTTAATAGCAAATAAGAAACTCTAAATGTTCATGGCAAAATTTCCACTGTAATTTATTTATAAACTTACATGTGTTGAATAAATTCAAAGGAGATTCAGGTTTAAGAGGCATGGATGCCACAAAGTTTCAATAGTTCACTGTCGTAGATTTTAAATGGAGGAAGCTCATACTTAACACCCCCTGACCTAAATTACACTATCCCACCTTTCAATATTTATGTTATGATTTTTTTTTGTATAGAAGAAACCATTATCTTACAGAAGGTTGTTTTTAAATGAAAACTGAATACAGTTTTCATCATATAAGCTCATAATTTTCCTGTTCCTTTTTAGTTTTTTAATCCTGCACTCCAGTATGATTTGGAATATGAACTGTTCAGTGTCATTGTTAAATAATTATTATTCAGTGGCGGAGCCAGGTTTATATCTGAGATTGCCCGTATTTCTAAAACTTGCATTCGAGGCTGCCCCCACTATCTCCCCCCCTCTGCTCCGTCACTGACTGTATTATCATCTCATTTTCACTTTATAGATAGTCACACGCGCAAATTGATATAAGCAGGGTTGCTTGACAGTTGATACATATATTTCAAACTTCATATAGGAAAGTTTATGATCTTTATAAACTTATGAACGAACTCCTGGACAAATAACAAATCTGTTTCTTGCATCTTTGCTGATTTGTTTGGTCAGACATGAGTTGATTTGGTTGTATCACATGATATTGACCTATATATTAGTGACAAGTGTCACATGCAAAGCAAACCATGCTTACTCTTTTAGAAACATCTGATGGTACATGCTGAAGCAGTGTAATTAGACATTGTTTATAGAAACCTTGATGCTTTAAATTCCTTTGTGTGAAGTTTTTGCATGAAAGATTTTCATTATAATGATCCCATAAACTCCTTCCTGTACCAGTACCTTTATGGACAGGCAGTAGATCTATCATTGAAATAAGTTCATCCACAATAGTTCTTTAAGGTTGCTTGTTCACTAAGTTATATTTATCCATATTTCAGTTTACATTCCAACTTTCCAAGTTTTTGTTTCACCAAATCCATTCCAGCATGTTTTTCCTCTATTGGTTACTGTTGCATGGTTGTGTTCATATTTTTAAATTTTTGATACAAATTGGAAGCCGAATGCTTCAATTGATAAGAAGTTCAAAGCAAAAACCAAAGGAATATAAAAAATTTCTGCCTATTTTAGATTGATTGATTGGTGATTGGACCATGGTCAGAAATTTGGTTTTGGTGTGTGTGTGGATAAGGGGTTGTCTCCCCTTGTCGTCAAAATGTCGTGGTGATTGGCCTGGGCCTATGTGGCTGTTGTCATGGCAATGGGATGGAGAGAGGTATGCACTGAAACTAAAAGACTGTTCGACGATGAGCTGGCAAAGGGAGGGGTGTGGGATATCCAGATTAGAATAAATATGACTGAATGTATTAAAAAATATTTAAAAGGAATAATTATGCTGGGTCTAAGAAGCTAGCTGTGTTTTAAGACGGTTGATCTCTTAATTTAGCAGACATCGTATTTTGAATTATTTATTTATAAAGTTAAATTTTAAACCTATGACAGCATCTACATCTTTTCTAACTTAAAGCAAATATGAATTAAAAAAAATTGTTGAATAAAACATAAACCAAAGGAACCAATGATAAAATGTGCCTATTTTTAGATCTGTGTCTGGTGGCTGGTTGGTCATGTTTGCTTTTTGGTAATTTGGTATTTTACGAACAGGTGTGGTCGTGGAAATGTTAGAATTTCCATTTAAAGACTTGGTCTTTGGATTGTGGAGAACTTGGTGTATGTTGTTGGTTCCTTCTTGGAACGTGAAAGTTTGTAATTTTAACGAAGGTAGAGTTTTTCTCCAGTCCTTGGACATCTTTACCGAACACGATTCTATCGTCTTAGCCTGAGATTTATTTAGATTTATTAGATGTTATCTTGGGATGACTAAAGGTTTGAAAAGACGAGGTAAGGTGTCTGGTGTAGGATTAGCGATACATTAGAAAATAGAAGAAGTGCACAAAGGAGATACGACATTGTGCGGACACAATTCTTATATTTTCTACTGAATCAATAATCATTTCACACCGGACACCGTACCTAGGCGATTCGTTGCTTTATTACGTCTTACATATGATTTTAGCTGACATCTTTGCCTCTATTAACAATCAAGTGAATGATGAATTCAAGTATTTGGAATATCAGGGTATCTAAGGTTTTAATTCAAATATTCTCATAAACTTATCCAAGATAGAAAAGCAAGATTTGAAATGATACAGTAATCTGATTGGTTGTTAATGATAAATTTAAAATCTTTTTTTGTAATTTGACCAATCAGATGACTGGAACATTTGAAATCCAAAAACAATTTAAGTTTATGAGAAGAAGGCCTCTGGGTTTATAATTTTGTTATTTACAGTGATCAATGATCAAAATCTTAACATTTTACTCGATGTCAATGCTTTATTTTAGAGAAAGGAAGCTCGAATAGTACAAATCATTATTTGTTTTAACACAGCGTTAATATTTTGATAATTTAAAGTTTTGAACTCTCATTCCAGGAGCAACGAAAACAGCAGATTAGTAAAGGAAGTGGATAGAAGACGAAGTGATACAAGATGGATATATTGATATAGAAGTGTAGTAGGTTATATTTTATTAAGGTCTATCTTATCACAATATCAAAATATTACGATCTTCATCTTATACCTTGACAGAAATAGCCAATTTGTATGATACGTGAAAGGTGGCTATTACTCTCAAGGTATAAGACAAGTTTGATATTGTGAAGATGCATCCTTCGATTCCCAGAGACACCCTTTTATATTTAGACTAATATAATATAAGAAAGGTGGCTATAACAGTAAGGTTTGAAACAAAGTTAGTAAAAGCTTGACATTGTGAAGATGCGAAATAATTAACCTATAGCTGATATTGAAACAAGGGATGAAATTGAGTGTCTCTGGGAATCGAAGGATTCTTTTTAATTAATCATGTTTTTTTGTGTGCTAAACAGTCGAGTCGCACATACTGTGCAAAAATGTTCAATTCGTGTTTTCATACATGGCTACGTAAAGTGCTTTTACAGAAGATATATGTTAAGTGAAAAATATGTTTAAGGGCCCCCCCACATCTTAGCAATCACCAGTTGCGTATGAATAACTGGACACAATTATTACTTCAATAATTCAACAATGATGCTTTCGTCTTTATCAAGCAATGATACGAAAGTTGTGTATGGTTTGGAACAATGAAAGTGGTCATGAATGCCAAACAACTCACAACTCAGTTACATGAGAGCTGCGCTCTAAACTTATAACCACTATTCTTATATATACGCAACTGATAATCGCTATGGTGAGAGGGCACCTTTATTCTAACTAGGCTAGAACTTGAATATTATTATGAATTTTTTGTTTTATTTTCCATAAATATTAATTAATCTTTGAATGAATTCAGATAGACTGCCATAACTTTTGATATTATGAAATCCGAACATTTTCTGTTGAACACGGAAAGAATTTTTATTTTATTGAAGTATTATTGTACGAGATATATTTTTGTATTCCGCAAGGATTGTTGATTCGGTTCTGCATACCAGACGTGTCTGACAGGGATTTCAAACTATCTGATGGGGCATCATGTTGGGTTGAATTAGAAAATAGAATGAAATATTGAGACATTGCTCTGATCGCTTTCTAACCAATGCAAAAAAGTTTTAACAAGCACCTGTTAGACAGGACTGGCAAATATGATCGAATCAACATCCCTGTGTATAAACTGAAGAAAATTAGCAAGTAAAAAATAAATTCATTCACCCATTTTAAGATAATGATTGCATACTGTTATTCATTCATTCATTTAATTAAATATTGCTTGAATCCAATTCAAATCAAAATCATTAATGAATGAATCATTTTTATCAGAGGGATCCAGATATGTTTATCACCGGTCATGTCTGAATCATGTATTGTCATAATATTTTTGAAATTAATTATAATGAAGTTAGTGCCTCGTGGTTTTGATATTAATTTTCTTAACTGTTGCCATTTTTGAAAAATATTTAAATATTTCCATGGTTACTCTTCTTCTTATTTTGTATATTGGAGCTCAGATTTTGGTATAATGGTAATCGTTTTGCTCATTTTCTTATAAATATGGCACAGGGCAGCCCCTGACCTTCAGTTATTTATTAGAGTGTGGTCTCCTAACTCGGGGTTATATTCTAGAGGGTAGTTCACTGTTGGACTGTTGTATGTTTATAGAAACACCAGACATCACGTAACTCTGTGGTTTATATTCTAGAGAGTGGTCCACTGTTGAAATCTTCTAACTCTTGTCAAAATTCTAGAGTGTGGTCCACTGTTGAACTATTGTATATGTTTTTTGGGAGAAATGTTTGAGATTCTACCAAATAATTGTATTTTATCATTTTAATCATAAACTTTATCATCATTTGAATAAATGTTATGATTTTTTAAAAATCAATTTTGACTTTTTATTTACGAGATTCAAGAAGACAGAAACCTGGCACGGAAAACTTGCTGTGCACAGACCTCTGACATTGATGTACATTAGGGGTGGTGGATTTGTTTTAATCAGTGGCAAGTTTCATGCTGTGTTGGTGCAAATATTTGTGACTTGGGGAATTGAATGACACTAAAGAAGTGAGAGGTGCATCGTACAAACACTAGACAATATAATGGAATAAGCACACTTCTTTAATAAAATATTAAGCACATTTAACATTCAAACGTTGTGCGTTGAAATGTTACATACTTTGATTTATTGAAGACGTTTAATTATTCCTTGGCCCTAGTCTGGAGGTTAAGATATACATTATAGACAATAGTATAGAAACTTCTTCCTTGTTGACATGTAGACAAGGTATCTGAACCTCTACACTAGGGCCAACAAATAGTCAAATAGCCAGGATACCAGAAACACTTGCAGAGGAGGCAAAAAAATAGCATAGCTCTTGAGCTTCTCTTTCATAATTAGCTTATTATCTGTTTTATTTATTTAACCATGGCCTTTGGAAGCCAAGTTCTTGTCAACTCAGTTGTAAATGAGTATAAATTATCAGTGAAAGATATGTCTACATCACTTACAGCTACTCTTAATAGCTAATTATGTTAATTAGATACATTCATCAACACATTCCCTGGAACTACTATCAGTTAGACTGTAGACTGGTTTAGAACCTCATGTTTAGTCTTATATAGCCCTCCCAATGCACTGAAATCTCTCACTGAAGCAAAGGAGACACACTTTAACATATTCTCAAGAAAATCAACACAAAAAATTGATTGAAAATGGACTTTAATTCACTAATTTTCACATTTTAAAGAATGTAAACAAAAAACCGCCATGTTTGTTTACGTTTTGGTTTGGCACTTCCACCGCTTCTCAACTTTGACTTCAGGGTTTAGACTGAAAAAAGACACAGCGACCGTTCAAAACTATGTGTAGACCTCGTAGAATCGTGCATAAATTTAATCAAATCCTCAAATTGCCATGACAGTGGTTTGATTTAGTCTTATCCTCTTTAAACTGATGTAAAGTTGAAATTTATGATAAAAGTCAGCCATTTTGTTTTTATTACCCAATTTGGTTTGTTTGACATTCGAGACTAAAGTGTAAGAACCATTTTACTGCTTATAGGACAATCGAGTCTACGACCCCCTGTCATTTACGGTCTAAGGGAGACAACTCCATTGAATGATGTCAAATTTTTTTTTAATGGTGGGTAAACGTTCAAGATCGAGGCGCATGCGCCGGGCGGAAATTGACGAGTGGTGCCTCATAATTACAATCGGCACTCAAGTAAGTTTCCGTAAACCGGAACAGGAAACAAATGCTATATTTGATTAACCAGACTCAAACGTCTATAGCCAATTACAACTTATAGATCGAGACTGTTGAATGTAAACAAACATGGCCGACATTGAGCAGATTTTTCAGAAATATTTTGAATTTTTGTCTGTTAAAGCGATTGTATGAAGAAATATTGTACTTTTAACATTCTGCAAGTTGAACAACTACCTAGGCAAGTTTATCGTGAGCTGTCATGCGTGTTGAATGGAGGATAAACATTCTACAGCCATTCTAATGTCTAGAAAATTGTACTTAAACTTACTAAGAGAAGGTTGAAGTCACCAAAGACCTGGCTTTAACTTCTCTTAGTTTGAGCTGGAGTCGTCAGCAAGGCAATAAGGTGCTGTGGGTTCGATCGAATCATCTTCAAGGTAAAACATTCCCGGGCCAATGCTTCCTAGGGTCGGTTAACAACCCTACCCTGTTGTTACCTGATAAAGAATGACTTATTGACTGGCATGATGTTTCCTGTTTAGAACAGGACAGTGATTGTTGCTTGATAATCTGATGGTGCAGACATGTAGGATGTTATATGCCATTTCTTTCACAAACCAACAATTGATTTGGTCTGTCTTGATGTAATTGTAACACCTGTTTGTTGATTCTGCTATTCTGTGTAACTTTAATTCAATTGTTTATTTAAGTCTTACTAAGTTATGTATTGAGGAACCTGTCATACTCTACTTGTTAGATTTATTTTGTGTTTTAATTCTTTCAGGATGAGACCAAGATATTGATAAATAAAGACAAGGAGAGAAAAAGACGAAACGTTCAAAATAAATGTTATGTCCTCTATGATTTCTGTTTCTTTTTTTAATCAAAATAAACTATTGTATTGAACTAAATGACTGTTTTTAATGGAGAAGAGGAAATTTGACATTCCTTGGTATTTCTGAGGCTAAATACCATTTGCTACCAAATTTAAAGGATATTTAAACACTGATACAAATCGAAGCAGTGTTTGTATGATTGATCATTGAAAAAACAACACAAACAGCCATTATAAACAGAATTGTCTTCTGTAGGCTAAATTTTTACATCAGTAAATATTTTTGTAGTGTAGTAGGGGCCTTAGAGGAGTGCATTGGACTTGGAAGAGTCCATTATAATTTTTCTAGGGGTGGATAGAAAGAAAATGGAGTTAAAATCTCATTTCCAAAAAGTGGAAGAGTCCAAGTTGTTTTCGAAGAGTCCATTAGGGTTTTAAGGGTAGTGCAGGAAGGATTTTCTGACGAGGCGTTTAAAACCGAAAACAGGAATAGTCCATTATAGCCATGGAAGAGTCCATTGGGATTTATAGGGGTGGACAGGTATGAGCTTTTTTGAGAACAAAATGGCAATTTTTGGATTTTCAAATTTTCCCGCGCCCTAGGTCAAACCTGGGTCAAATTTAGTGCAAAAAGGTCAAGTAAGTAGGACACGGGGTTTTCCACTGGATTTTGGCAAGGGGGGATAGCTATGTTTAATTTTGGTTTTTCAGCAATTTCTGCTAAAGTATGCATTTTTTGCATGTTTTGAGGTTATTTTCTGTATTTCTATGTAAATACACATTATTGGACTAAATTCCAGTGCAATAGGTGTAAGAATTACACTACAGCACTTGAAAATAGCCCTGTGAACTAGAAATATGAAACAACCCTAGTGAAAGAGAGGCTGATCTCTGTCCAGTTGTAATTTGACCTTTGTTTTCTGATTGGTCAAAATTATGCTTTTTAATTTCCATTTAAAAATGAGCCTTTTAAAAGACAAAGTCAATATTAGAGGGTTGGATAGAGAGAGAAAAGACACAAGAAAGATTTATTTAGTTTATTTTAGCTTGAAGAAACCAGTTGAATATTGTCCTATCAAAACAACTCTTCAATATAGAATACAGGTGATGTTGACCTCTAGGTCAAGGTTCACTAAATATTGGCAAGGAGCCAGGTATAATACTAGATTTCTGTCAAATTTTTTAACTGCAGACTAAATTTTCCATTTTTAGCCATTTTTCACTTTTCCACTATTTTCTGGTGTGACATTTCCTTTCAAATTCATCAAAATATAAGCCTGCACATGCATTTTAATCTTTGACACCAATGATGAAGGGAAAAGACTTGCTGTAATTTCAGACCACAATAAAGGAGTTTCTGAAAGCTGATCATTATTGAGATGCCAGTTGAAATTAATCTGATTTTCCAGTCAATTTTCCCTCCAGAAGGAAATAACAAAACATGCCTGGCAAGTCGAGATGAATTCTAACTGTTATCACAAATTGGGGTAATTTTCCTTGTCAGGACAGAAGCAATAACCGGGCTCGCTGTTATGGACTTAGACTGACAAATAACAAATTACAGGATATAAAACAATGGAATATTCTAATAGAATTTATTCATATTGAAGACTGTACAATAGATAGACACATTCAACAAAGCATAAACAGAATGTAGGTGACTTTATCTTGAAAGTTATAATACAAAATCATACAAATAATTTGATTGACTAGTAAGAAATACAGGGGTTTTAAAATAATCATACCAAGACTTAATCATTAATTCCTAGCTCTGTTTTTTAATTACAATCAGTGCTGTTGCCCACAGAAAAACTGGAAGCAAAATATCTAGAGCTGTATTTTAGTTACAAATACTACTGTAACCCACAGAAATATCTAGAGCTATGTTAATATTAATGAATAGTCAAGGAACCCACAGAAACTAAATATCTAGAACTGTATCACGGTTGACTGCAATGATATACACAAAGATAGCTTATGGCAGCAATTAAAGAAAGTAAACAAGATTAAACGTTTCCATCTTAGATATACCGGTAAATTAAGACTGTAAAAAAACTGTCAGTCCAAATCACAGAAACAGATTCAAAATTCATGAACATACAATAAATACATACAGAAAAAATAACCATGTACACCTCGTTATTATAAATAGAAATTACAATATTCAAAAAAAAAGATTTTAACAACTAAAACTATACATGACAGTACACAACCCCAAAAAATCTAAATCATTTGTATAGTTTATATAAATAGTTTTGGAGGAATAGAGAGGAATATAAAGTCGTAAAATACAGGTTTTAGCTGTAGGAAGGTGGTCGTTATCAGCTGGTCTAATGGTTATACTTGGCATGGTCTTTACTGGCTGGTACTGCTGAGCTGGATTCTGTAGAGATGTGTATAATATCAGAGCAAATTTCACCCAATCTGAAAAAAATAACAATTATCAAACATTAAAATCTCAATGTAAATATATTGAAGTATATTCGTACAAATGAAACACTGCAGAAATGATTTTTTTTCTACTTTTGCATGGAAGCTTAAAATTATTTTATTGTACCAATTTGCATTACAATGTATCTGGAATATCCTGTCCAAAAAATTGTACAAATATATTCATTCATTAGCGAGTGCGAACCATTTTACTTTTATACTCATTTTCTCAAAATGGCTATGCACAATATACAATGTTGTGACACGTAAAATTATAAATCAACTATAACTTTCTTATTTCTCATGATAAATCAATTCGGTAAAAGGTTTTAAGTTTCTCATTCTCACAAAAACCTGTAAAACAGAACAAATTGAGAAGAAACTAACATGTTACCTGATTAAAGTTGAATTTTGTTGACACCTTGTTTCTAACTGTTTTTACTTAAATAATAATCTTTGCGAAGTAACATAAAAACTTTACAGACATTACAGACTCTTCATATTTCCAAAACCCTGAAAGAAATTACAATTTCAAATATCAAAATCTTGATTTAGATCCAAATATAGTCTTAAAATAGGCATTGAAGAAAATACAATGTAAATAGCTTGAAGTATACTCGTACAAATGAAACACTGCAAAAATAATTTTTTTTTGACTTTTGCATGGAAGCTTAAAATTATTTTATTGTACCAATTTGCATTACAATGTATCTGGAATATCCTGTCCAAAAATTATACAAATATATTGATTAATAAGCGAGTGAGAGCCCTTTTACTTTTATACTCATTTTCTCAAAATGGCTATACACAATATACAATATAATGACGTGTAAAATTCTAAATCAACTATAACTTTCTTAGTTTTCCTGATAAATAAATTCGGTAAAAGGTTTTAAGTTTCTCCTTCTCACAAAAACCTGAAAAACAGAACAAATTGAGAAGAAACTAATATGTTACCTCACTAAAGTTGAATTTTGTTGACACCTTGTTTCTAACTGTTTTTACTGAAATTTTCTTAAATAATTATCTTTGCCAAGTAACATAAAAACTTTACAGATATTACAGGCTCTTCATATTTCCCAAACCCTGAAAGAAATAACAATTTCAAATATTAAAATCTTAATTTACATCAAAATGTAGTCCACAAAATAGGCATAACAAAGTAAAGAGAAATAGCTTAAGTTATAATCGTACCAAATCGATCACCGTAGAAATAATTTTTTTTCTATTTATGCATGGAAGCTTAAAATGATTTTATTGTTTCAATTTGCTCTGTAATGTTTCTGGAATATCCTGACCAAAATTTATACAAATATATTCATTTATAAGCGATTGACAACGTTTTTACTTTTACAAAACAACTTGAGTGGTCAAATTGACTCTTTGCGATCTTAACAACTTGCACCGCCTCAATATTTTTTCTCCGCAGTTCAGGCTAAAGGAAGACAAGTTAAGGTTAAAGATAAGTTTGCAGGCCTCGGAGAAACTTTAAAGAATGTAATCCAATGCTCTGATTGCTGAATCAGTTGTTTGATTTAGTTCTATCCTCTTTAAACTGATGTACAGTTGAAACTTCTGACGAAAACCCGCCATTTTGTTATTTCTACTCTATTTGGTTTGTTTGATATTCGAGACTAAGTACAAGAACCATTTTTTGCTTATTGGACAATCAAGTCTACGACCCTACGTCATTTACGGTCTAAGGGAGACAACTCCATTGAATGATGTCAAATTTTTTTAAAATTATTTGTCAATATTGAGACTTATGCGCATGCGCGATGTTGAGACAGGAACCGGAAAATGTCTCTTATTTGATTAACCAGACTCAAACGTCTATAACCCTTTACAACTTATTGTTCGAGACTGTTGAATGTAAACAAACATGGCCGACATCGAGCAGATTTTTCAGAAATATTTTGAATTTTTGGCTGTAAAAACGAATCTATGAAGAAATGTTATACTTTTCTCCTTCTGAAAGTTCAACAACTACTTCGGCAAGTTTATTGTGTGCTGTTTAGCGTGTCGACTGCAGGATAAACATTCTACAGCCATTCGTATGACTAGAAATTAGAATAATTTTTAAAATTGTTCAATAATCTGATGGTGCAGACACGTAGGATGTTATGTAAGGCTCGAATCAGTGTGTTTTTGCTGTGCACTTTTTAAGGAGGATTGAGTCGTCTCCTGTCCTTTCTATGGTGGAAATAAGTGTTCAAGTGGAAAGAAACATCTTGAGAGACTAATAGAGCCTACCATTTGATTGAACTATACATGCCAGTTATACAAGCCACCTGCATCTGACTCAAAGACTGTTTTTATACATCTTGTACTTATTTTAATAATAAATTTTGAAAGAAAATATTTGTTTTGATTTAAAGGCCTAAGCTAGAAGAAGCTTAATAAGAAGGGAATGATTTTACCTCATCTGAAACACATAGAAGACCACAGGGCAGCAGTAATGTTAAAGATCCCTTGACAGATGGCAATCAAAAAGAGTACACTTATGCTACTGTTCTCAGTTTCCATCAATGAATACTGCATGGCGTTTCTTGTCTTTATAAACCCAATAATGTGCAGAAAATTAGGGTGTATAGAATATTTCAGACTGTTTCTTTCTATAAAAAAGCTGTTCCATTACTAACGAAATAAAAAAGAGGGTTAGAGACACAGATAATCTTATTTTCCTGTCATGTTTGACTGAGTTGTCACTAATCTTAAAATCTTGATTAAGAAAATCAAGACTCTACACTTTACCAATGACTCTAGCAGACTTGAAGCTATTTCAGTTTAACAATGGACAGCTCTTTAATCTGTTTTCATGCAAAAAGATCTGAATTTATGGTAAATTTGTTAGTTTTCTCTTAATTAATCATAATAGGGTAATTTAATTAGTTAACTGTAGTCTGACGTCGGTTTAGTATTGAATGAGTTATCTTTTCCTGTTGCTAGTTCTTTTTTTATAGAGTTTAAAAAGGGTCTATTTAAGCCATTTCGCCCTCTCTTTTACCACTTCGTACAGCTTATCAAGAAAAAATGCTGAAACTTGCGAATTCTTTGAGTATTTAACATTACAGACATGGAAAAATGTTCCAGTGTACTTGTCCTTTGGTTGAAACTTCCTCAATTTTGTTTTAAAGTCGTATCAAGACAAATTTACTTATCCTGTCCGAATTGACAAAAGGGCGGTTTTGCCTTTACTAATATTGCAATGTGTGACAATCAAGACTGAACTGTCTATTAACGGTTGTTGCTGTGACAATCCAGTCTAATGTGGAATTTCTTACATTATTTAAAATAGGTTTTTCTTGGCAAATAGAGGATAAAACACCCCGATTTTTAGCTCATGGTCAAGAAAAATACTTTACCTTACTACCACGGCCACATGGAGGCCAGGGACTAAATAGAAAATGCTCAAATTGACTGGAAAACATGTGAGGCGAGTTTCCATTGTAAACAAAAAATCAAATATGGCGGACAGTGTGTTGAAATTTGTTGTTTACATTCGTTAAATTGTGAAAATAAAGGAATTAACGTCTATTCTTTAAAAAAATTGTGTGTTAATTTTGGAGGGGATACCTTGAGGTGTGTCTCTATTGCTTCAGTATGAGATGTCAGTGCATTGGGAGGTTTTAATAAGACTAAATGTGAGAAAGTTCTACTCAGTCCAACTGGCACAGAGATAGTGTATGTCAAAACCAACTGCAGTGAACCTTTCTTATCCTCTATGTTGTTAGTTTCTCCATGCAATGAAATAGATACCAAGCTACAAAATCGTAGAAAACCCTCTCTGTCAAGTACATTTCATCTGCTGAGATAAACCCAAACAAATCCAAACTAAAAGACATAATAAAATAAAGCCAGGCCACATTAAGCATCGACACAGTGACCAACATGCAGTGGGGATGCTAGACTTCTGAGACTGGGGGTACAAATAAGGGGCAACCTGAATAAATGGGCGAACTGATTCCGAATGGGGCAGCTCTGTGGAAGCACCGTAAACAGAAAACTTTCATGGAGCATCTGAGAGGGAGTTTCCAAGAATTAATAATAAAAAAATAACTGCTTTGGTTCATTCTGACACATATTTTGGGGTTAAAAACGTAGATCAACCATGTTAACATTATCAAAAAATTTAGTTAGATTATAAATAAGGGCTAATCTGAATTAATTGGGGACAACTTTTGAAAAACAGGGCAGCACATTTATCTATTTTTTACCTGCACTGTGCGAGGGGAACTAGATTTAATTCATACGGCAGCTATGCGGAAGCACCATAGACATGTTCGTGATAAAGATCCCTCAGCAATTTGACCTAGAAAATATCCTGGCAAAATTTCCCTCATTGCACACTCCATGGTAGACAATAGTCAGTCTTCATTAGCAGCTGCAGAAATGTCAGATTCATAATAGTTTAATCAAAATCAAAACTTTACACTTTGACAGAGAAACTGACAAAGTTTAAGCTTCTTCAGCTCAACAATGGACAGCTCTTTAATTTATTTTCTTGTAAAAAGATCTAAATTTATTGTAAATTTGGTAGTTTTCTCCTTATTAAGCATAATGGGGTAAAATAGGTTAATTTAATTAGTTAACTGTAGTTTGAAGTCGGTTTAGTATTGAATGAGTTATCTTTTCCTGTTTCTAGTTCTTTTTTTTATAGAGTTTAAAAAAGGTCTATTTAAGCCATTTCGCCCTCTCTTTTACCATTTCGTACAGCTTATCAAGAAAAACTTCTGAAACTTGCGAATTCTTCGATTATTTAACATTACAGACATGGAAAAATGTTCCAGTGTACTTGTCCTTTGGTTGAAACTTCCTCAATTTTGTTTTAAAGTCGTATCAAGACAAATTTACTTATCCTGTCCGAATTGACAAAAGGGC